TTTTTTTTGGAAAAGTTTAAAAACACCTTGTGGTTTATTCTTTTATCAGTTGCTCTCTTTATGGATTTTTTTCACTTTTCTCCCTATTATTTTTTCCATCAAACTCCACATTTAACACCATTAAAATTTGAACTAACTTATCCATTTTTCTTCTGTCTTGCCAACATCAAAACACTAATTTATCTTAAAACTTCTAAAATAAATAACTTTTTTCATAATTTGTAAATAAATCAAATTATTCAAGCTATAAAACTTCAAATATGAACAAGAAAAAGGGAGGAAAATACTAGCAAATTGAACAAGATTGTACACACTTTCCTTTTTTTTTTTTTTTTTTGATATAAATAGAGGGCCTAGCCCAGCAAGAACTACAACTGTAATTGATACTCAATTAAAAACCATGGGAATTTTGACAGTCTCAATATATATGGATGTATTGTTTAAATATGACATGAGATTCAAGACATAAACAATGACTACCCACCTACCCTACTCTCTGGGCTACTAATTAAAAAAAAAAAAAAAAGGGACAAAATTTAAAAAATAAATAAGAAGTCTTCAACGGAATTACAAGAGAGAAAAAAAAAATGGAAAATTAGGAGGAAAAAAAGAAATCCCTCGGAAGGCCAAGTATCAACTTGGGAAGGGAAATGGCATCAAAATCAAAAGGGTTTCTCAACCTCTCAAAGCTATGCTGCGAAAGGGAGCCACAATCTTTGATTTCAAACAGTGAACGCCACAACCCCTCTTTCAGATTACTAAAATTTTCGTCACTGGGAAATCAATCTACAAACACACAAGGTACCCTTAACTTGGGATTGTGTTTCGGTGGAAAAAAAAAAACGCAATTTCCTAAAGCTTCTCTCTCTTTCTCTAACAACTGCGGCTGGTGGATCTGAAAGAAACTCAAATTTGCAAACCCTAGAAAATGGATTAACAACTAACACGGTACCCAGTTTTCTTATATTCTCAAATAAAACGCACCGTACTGGCATCCCCCTACTATTTATTGTTTTTTAGTTTTTCACCTCTTTGTCGGATAGGAAGAGAGATCGTGAAAAAAAAAAAAAAAAAGAGTTTAAAAGAAAACGAAGTGAATTGAAAAAATAGGCACAGAGCAAATAATAGTTGTATTTAAAATAAAAAATACACTCTTAATTTAATGGGATAGGATATTATAACAACTAAATCAATTAGTATTACTATCAATATTATTACCAATCAATTTCACTATTAGATCGATTATGTTGATCCAATGGTTATATTTATTTCCATCTTTGTACGGTTGTAATTTTCCATATTTAATGTGAAAGCATTAAATATGAAAAATCATAATCATACAAAGATGAAAATAAATATAAAGTATTAAATATAGGTAATCATAATCATACAAAAATAGAAACAAATATAATCGTTGGATCAACATAAGCGATCTATCGATAAAATTGATCGGTAATAACACTAAGGGTGTGCATGACAACCATTCTATTCCCAAACATTGTTTCTGAAAAGAAACAATACTTTTTTATTTCTGTGCCTTAGAACAGTTTCTCAGAAAACAAAAATGTGTTTGATAACATATTCAATTTTTATTCCAAGAATGAGAATTATGTTTGATAACACAACAAATAATATAATAAAAAATAATTCCTATTAAATATAAAAAAAATTGGATCATCATTTTCATTTCCATATGGTGTGGTTGTGGTGGTGGTGGTGGCGGCGTAACAGTAGTGGTGGTGGCAGTGATGTGGTGATGATAGTGGTGGTGGTTGTGACGGCAGTGGCTGCGGCGATGACAGTGGTAATGGTGGTGGCAGCGGTGGTAGTGGTAGGGATGGTGGTGGTGGAGGCGACGACAGTGGCTGCGACAATAGTAGCGGTGGCATGGTGGTGGTGGTGGTGGTTGTGATGGCATCATGGTGGTGGTGGCAGTGGTTGCGACGGTGGTGGTGGTGATAGGTGTCAGTGGTGATGGTGGTGGTGGTGATGGTGGCGATAGTGTAGTGGTGGCAATGGCGTGGTGATGGTAGTGGCGGGGGTGGTTTAATGGTGGTAGTGGTGACAGTAGTGGCTATGACGATGGTGGTGGTGGTTAGTGGCAGCAACGACGGCGGTGGTGACGGTAATAGTAGTGATGGTTAGTGACAGTAGTGGTGATGGTAGCGATGGTGTCGTGGTGGTGGCAGTGGCGAGGTGATGGCGATGTTTGCGATGGCGGTGACGGCAATGGTTACGATGATGGTGGTGGTGGTTGATGGCGGTAGTGGTGATGGTGGTGGTGACAGTGACAGTGATAGTGGTGGTGGCGACAGTGGTAGTTGTGGTGGTGGTGACGGTGGCATGGTGGTAGTGATGGGTGGAGGTGATGGTGATAGTGGCAGTGGCATCGTGGTGGTGGGGGGTGGTGATGACAGCACTAGTGGTACGACGGTAGCGGTGACGATGGTGACGGTGGTCTTGTTGGGATGATGGTGGTGGTTGTGATGACGATAGAGGTAGAGAGTGATTGAGAGAGATAAGTGTTTCTCATTTTGTGCCCGGGAACAAAAAGTGCACGGGAACAAAAAAGAAGAAATTGTTTAATTCTTTTTTCTGTTTCCCAGCACAAAAATTGAACCGATTCATCCGGGGAACAAAAAAATAAACCGATTTTACCAAACGAGTTTTTTATCCATTTGTGTTCCCAAGAACAGAAATTAAAAAAAAAATTGATTCCATGAAGGTTATCATGCACACCATAATTGGTTGTTACAATATCTTATCCCTAATTTAATTGTGAGTAAAAACCTATTTTGGTCCCTGAAAAAAATACGGTACCCTTTTAGGTACCTATCAAAAATAAATTAGATTGGAAGTCCCCAATAAAGACAAATAGGTCCTTGACAATGTAGATCCTTCTTGTTGGGTTAAGGCATACTATAGTCACTGGCCTAAATGTGACAACATCACAAATAACATGGCTGAGGTGTGGAATTCAAAGATCGTGAATTATAGGTCCAAACCTATCATGACTTTGTGTGAGGAATTGAGATGTTATATAATGAGAAGGATAGCATCTCACAAAAGGATCTTGCAAACATTTAGGGGAAAGATAACATCTGCACAACAGAAGAGGATGGACCAATTGAAGGTTGCCAGCAATTCTTGGACACCTACATGGACTGGGAACTTGGTTCAAGATGTTTATGAAGTTTCTGGAAGGGGTCAAAGGGTTGGGTGAACTTAACTAACCAATCTTGTAGTTGTAATGTTTGGCAATTGACTGGATTGCCATGTGAACATGCCATTGCCGCCATTGCTCACAAGAATGAAGCTGTAGAAAATCATGTTCATCAGTGGCTGACAGTGGATGCTTTGCATGCCACGTATGAACACACACTCAACCCAATCAATTTCCAGCAGTATTGGCCCTCATGTGATGCAATTGGACGTGAAAAGGCCAATTGGACGTGCTAAAAAGCATCGCAAAAAGGATCCTACTTAAGAGCTTATGAAGACCATCAAGAAACTGAAAAAGTCTTATACAGTTCAATGCTCCAAATGTGGTCAGACTGATCATTAGCCAAAGACATGTAAGGACCTGTAGCTCCTTCAAAGCCAAAGCAAAAACCAGTTAATGTTAATATTCAATCAAGGACAGAGGAAGAAATAGTCATGACTCAAGGATGCCCTGTACCAGAGACAAGCAGCCAACATGCAATAACTGAGGCTTAACCAAGTTCAAGACCATCAAGAGGCAGTAGCCTAGATCCATCAAATCCTACTGAGGTTGTGTCCAATGAGACACTAACTGCAGCAAGCAGTGGTACCAGGACCAGATTCATGAGCTTCATGTCCACACCAGGATTCAAGCCACCAAGATCAGCCCCACAGAATTGAATGGAATATTGTGTAATCAATGTCATTAGGCCATTTTTTGTAAACCTTTGATATAGGCCATGATTAGCAATTATAATTAGGCCAGATTTTTGGAACACTTTGGTATTGGCCCAGTTGATCAATGTCATTAGCCTTTTTTTGTATGCCTCTGGTTAGGGCCATGGTTAGTACTTGTAATTAGTGCAGGTTTTGGAACATTATTGTATTGGCTTGATGGAAATATGTCATTAGGCTTTTTTTGTATGACTGAGGTATATTGGCCATGGTTAGTACTTGTAATTAGTGTAGGTGGAAATGAAAAAAAATGTCTGGTTATCAATTCATTATCTTCATTTCTCTCTACAATGTGCAATTTTTTAATATTGGTCCACATCATCTGTCATGTGCACTTCTACTGATACACTTTCTTGTTTCTGTCAACACTAGTATATATATTGTCTTTGTTGTGTCATTTTAGGGGCATGTGTAGCATCACTGCACTTCTGATCCATCAACAATATATTTCCTTTACAAATCCCCAACAATTTGCATCAGGGACCATTTTAGTCCTTGGTAATTAATACATAGATTCAGTTTGGTCCTTAACATTTTTATCGAGGTCTCTTTTAGTCCCTAGTTGCCTTTCCACACACCAATGCCACCATAAGTTGTTAATACACCAGCAATGTCAGTACTCATTTAGATGCTGATTTAAATAATGAGTTACATACTTGACTTCTGCATAATTCACACCATCACACTCTCAGATTAATGTTCATATAGTGTTTCCATTATTTTAACTACTTAAAGTGTAGACACCAGCAATGTCAGTACTCATTTAGATACTGATTTAAATAATGAGTTACATACTTGGCTTATGCATAATTCACACCATCACAGTCTCAGATTAATGTTCATACAATGTTTCCATTTTTTTTTTATCTTCTTCAAGTTTATACTGCACTTTGTGCCAATAAACACAAGTTCAAGTACATAAGCCATGTTATATACATTTCATAAACAACATTTCATTAGATTTCAACATTGGTCCTTCCATTACAAATATTTACATTTCAAAATCATTACAACATGTAAAGGTATATACACCAGCAAATCTCAATAGTACTACACTTTTTTTTTCATTTCAGCCTACTTTCAAGATATATACATATTACAAACACAACAATAATGGATCTAGCAAACACCCTAGCACACCTACACACATGCTTAATTTCTTTCTCCACCTTATCAAACTCTGCATGCATCTTCATTAATAGTTCGTTAATCTTTATATGGTGCTCATTAATCTTTTTTTCCTTGTCATTCACCTCCAGCTGCAGTTCATCATTGAACTCCATGTCTACATAGTTCAACTTGAATTCCATTTCAGCTATATTCAACTCCAAGTTATTAATTCTCCAATCTTCCAGCTCCATCGTATCAGTTGTAGCATCATCCACCCATCTAAAAAAATTGCATTGTGGCTTCTTTTCCTAACACCAAATGAAACCAAACTCTTAATAACATTCAACTTAAACAAAGAACGCATGCAACTAACTGAATGCAAAAAAAGCTCACCTTGATATTGGGACAGCCAAAAAATGCTCTATTTGGGTTTCTATCTGTTTTGGAGGTGTAAACAACAATGTGCCTCCCACATTTACACCTTGGAGCAGCACTCATTCTTTGGCTTCTAGTCCCAATTGATTACAAGGGCTTGAGCTCCCCCTCTCAGAAGAAATATTCATCTCTTAAACACTAAGATTCAAAGAACGCATAAAATATTTAGTAATCCCTAAATCAGTAAACCCCAAACTGCAACATTCAATCTTCGATTGAATCCCCACCTGATGTGTTTCTGTAAACCCTACATTATACGACGACATTCATATGGTGAAATTAAGGGGGAAGGAAAACTTCACGTTCAATTGGCTTCTCCTTATGTTTCTGAGCAACGTGGACGCAGGTCTCCAAACGACGACGTTTGCCTTCCAACGTGGCAGGTGAGCATGGGTATTAACGTTACACATCAGCTCCGTCAGTGACATCGTCTGTTTGTGACTAACAAAAGGAGTAATGTGGGACCTATTTGTGTTTGTTGGGGACTTTCAGTCTAATTTATTTTTGATAGGGACCTAAAAGGGTACCGTGGTTTTTGTTAGGGATTAAAATAAGTATTTACTCTTTAATTACTAATTCACGCGATTAATAAATTACAATATTAAATTAATAATTTAATTTTGATATAAAATTTGTTATGTATATACCAATGTATATATATATATATATAGCTTGTCATTTCTTAAGCTGCTTGAGATAGCTTTATCTCCGGCCACTAAATCATAACCGTACAAAGATGGATCAATGGTGATAAAGAAAAAGAGAGAAAAAGAGAATCATAACCATTCAAAGGTGAATCAATTAATATAAGGAAATAAATAAATAAAATGACGTAGTTTTGAAGAAATCGGAGATAAATATATCTCAAGGAGCTTGAGAAATATTTTTCTCGTATATGTATATATATAGGGGAGATTATACTTACTATCTCTTTTTCTTACTAACTCTTACTACTAAATCTTAACCGTTGATTTCCGCCAATTTAACGGTTGTAATTTATGGGGTCATACTTATTAATTAATTATTGATTTTTAATAAATTACAACCGTTAGATTGACAGAAATCAACGATTAAGATTTAGTAGTAATAGGTAGTAACAAAATTAGGTAGTAAATATAACTTTTTCTATATATATATATATATATATATATATATATATATATATATATGAACATTGAGTTGGTAATAAAACCCAAATCTAAAAATCTAAATAGATAGTCTATGCAAATTATCCGGTAGTGAGATTATCCAAGTATATGATATCTATTTAAAATTTCCAATCCGTAAATAATAATGTATATGAACGGTCCATTTTAGAGGGAGAAAAATGAAAAATTATAAAATTAATCAAAAAATTATGAAAATTATTTTTAATAAATTTATAATTTACGATATATGTTTTTATTTTATAAAAAAGATAGATGATATTGTTACTACCAATTAGTGTTACTACCAACGTCACTACGACTTTATTTCACCGTTAGATCGATTATGTTGATTAAACGATTATTTTTATTCCACCTTTGTATGGTTATGATTTTCCATGTTTAATGTGAAAGCATTAAATATGGAGAATCATAACCATACAAAGGTGAAAATAAATATAAAGTATTAAATATAGGGAGTAGAAAGAAAGTTTTTAAAAAGTTAAATCATAACCGTTGGATCAACATAATCGATCTAATGGTGAAAAAAAGTTATAGTGACATTAGTAGTAACACTAATTGATAGTACCAATATCCTATCTCTTTATAAAATATTCATCATTAATTATTGGAAAAAGTATTTTTGCTTTTGCATGAAACTGTTTTATGTCACACTCACATAAAAGTGAGTGAGTCCTATTATAATGAGAAGAAAGAGAAAAAGTTAATGGATTACGATGAGACCTACTTATTTTTGTGAAAGAAATTTTTTTTATGTAGAACAAGAGAAATAGTAAACCCTTAATTTTTTTGATTAATCATTTTTAACTTCAAAACTTTATCTCTAAAGTTAGTTATTTTTTTTAATAAATGATGAGAGTCAAATTTAACGTGGAAAACACCTTCAAAATAAATAAGAATTAGAGTAAACACCATTTTTAGTCCCTGTCAATATCTACGAAGTCCTTTTTAGTCCCTGACAATAAAAAATGACCAAATTGGTCCCTGAAATTACAAAAAAAGGGCCATGTTAGTCCTTATTTCAACTCCCAAATATGTAGAGTGGCCCTTTTCTTGTACTTTCAGGGACCAATTTGGTCCTTTTTTATTGTCAGGGACTGAAAGGACTTCGTAGATATTGCCAGGGACTAAAAAGGGTGTTTACTCTAAGAATTAAAGGTTATTTTCCATTTACCATAATTTCGGGGCTTGTTGTCATCGTCACTGCGTAACAAATAGATCACTCTTCATATAGCAACCTCCTCTTAGAGGTCGTTTGTTTAAGCTTTTAGAATAAGTAACTTTTATTATTTTTTTATTTTAAAAATACTTTTTACAAAAGTTAAAGTTATTTATATTTTTATAAAAATATTTAGATTTTAAAAAAAATATTTGGCTTTTGACTTCTGCTTTTCTTAGAAGTTAAAGTTTTTAGCTTCTGAAAAAAGTAGGTTTTTGACTTTTTTTGTGACTTCTCATTTTTTAAAAGCAGACATCCAAACGAACTAAAGATGAGAAGTGCTTTTTTTCTTGAAAAAATAAACTTTTGAAGAAAAAGAAGTTCATCCAAACAAGCCCTTAGTTAGATCACTCTTCAAAAAAAAAACTTGAACCAAATTTTGGAGTTTTTGACCGCATGCGGTCTAGATTCCACCCATATATTGCACTATTTATATGGCCATCCATTGCACATGAGACCACTCACGCACCCCACTTGCGGGCAAATGCGGACATAAAATTTTTTATTTCAGCTTTTTCTTTTTCTTTTTCTTGGTTGTAAGTCCTTATTTGTCTCTTGGTTCAATATATATATTAGGAGTAAATATTCTTTTAAGTTCCTAACAAAAATCATGGTCTTCATTTTAGTCCCTTACAAAAAAAAATAGTCTCGAGGTCCCTAAAAAATTTAAAGTGGATCAATTTAGTTAAAATTGTGGTCCCTCACAAATTCAAAAAATACCTACATGAGTCCCTCAAAAATACCAAAATGGGTCTACTTTGAATTTCATAGGGACCAAGTGACTAATTTTTTTTATAATGGACTAAAGTGGGGACCGAATTTTTTGTTAGGGACCAAAAAAGATATTTATTCTTATATTAGTTAGCAACGTACGGAGATGATTAAAACAACGTAGCAACACAAATTGATTAGAGAGAAAACTTATTTTTCCTCCCCTGTCACGTATCCATTCCCATGCTCTCTTCATCTTTTATTTCTTTTTTCATTTTTATAAAAAGAGAGGATTGATTGCAGGTCTGACATTCTCAAATAAGTTAATATCTAGAGACGAGGCCTTCATTGTGATTTTGCTTGCCTTCTGTACAGGTAGTGTTGACTTTTTTATTCACCACTATAAAATAGAATGATGATGTATGGATGTACTGGAGTATATTTTCATATTTGTTTTGAAGGATTGGTAAGATTTATGGGGAAATAATTGGTCAAACTATTGTTTGCAGCTTGTTATGAAAGCAACTAGATTATGAGCGGATTTAAGTGTTAATTTAAACTTTCTTTATAAAAAAAAATTTCGAGAGCTCTACCTTCAAATCTCTGTCACTAAATGTGCGGACATAAAAAAAAAAATTCTAAATCCGCCAGTGAGACAACAAATGATCAACCAAAATACAAAGAAAGAAAAATAGAGATGGCAGTGATTAAGGTGGCAGTGCTTTCGGTCAGAGGACTTATCCATTATGGTACATTATCACATTCTCTGTATCTGTTTTTTCGATTTTTTTCTTTGAGTCTTGTTCTACTATATAAGCATGTGTTTCTATTCATTTTGGTGGGTTATATTATAAAGAAATAGAACTATAATCTTGAACAAAAGTTATTAGATTATGTTATAGGAATAGAGATTACGGGATCGATATTTATTTTATTTTTATTTTTTTAAAAATAAATGTGAGTCCCACAATCTCTATCTCTATAACATAATCTAATGACTTTCTTATATTGTTATATTTCTTTTTCCCTATATTATATATGGATTAAAAGTTTATCCTTTTAAAGGATATAACCTATATATATCTTTTAAGTAATTTATAACAATGTACTACGAGTAGTATATAGTTATAATATTAAAGTTGTACTTTTTTTCATTTTCCACGTCAACAAACAGTGTCTGAATAAAAAGAAAAAGTATAACTTTAATATTATAATTATATATTACCCGTAATACATAATTATAAATTATTAAAACAACATAAGTTACATCATTTAAAATCACAAATCATTTTCCCATAATATATGAGATTCTATTTTCTCATGTTATTGGAGATAGTTATCTCCTACTACAGACCCATGATGTGGTGGGGCTCACCACTTATTAAAAAAAAGAAAAAATTGATGACATAATTTTTGACGTGAAAACAATATAAGATAGTTATCTCATGTAAAATGAGATAATGATTTCCCATATGCTAATTGACTGATTGTAGCTATTGAGCTAAGCAAAGGAGACCTTGAAGGCGTTGAAATCGAATACATGGACATTTCTTGCCTACCCTTGTTGAACACTGATCTTGAGAAGAAAGGGACTACCTACCTAAAGTTGAAGACCTTCGTCAGAAAATTCTTCATGCTGATTGCATTCTTTTTTTGCTTCCCGTGAATATAATTACTTTGTCGTTGGTACACATCTATAACCAGTAGCAGACCCAAACAATTTTCTTTATGTCTGCATGCCCCCGAAATTTTTTTTGTTGTAAAAAAAGTTTAAATTAACGCTTCCGCTCATAATCTAGTTGCTTCCACAACAAGCTGCAGCTAATAGTTTGACCAATCATTTTCTCCCCTAAATCTTACCAATCCTCCAAAATAAATATGAGAATATACTTCAGTACATCCATACATCATCATTTTATTTTATAGTGATGAATAAAAAAGTCAACACTATCTATATAAGGCAAGCA